GGTTCTCGCGGCGGCCGACAAGGCGGTTCGATTAGCGGTCGCGGCCACGATTCCGATGAGAGCAACGGACGCGACCTGCAAGATCACCTCCACCGCGTTCAGACGCTTGTACGCTGCACTGCAGCTGCTGCAGTTCACGACGTGCGACCAGTACCTGTCGTTTAAACCGAAAAAAAGAGCGTGTTCAGCCTTTAATATAATCCCGTGTAGAAAAACGCCACTGATTCGCTGAAAGATTGATGCTTTACTGCACCTAACTTTCGGGAAAACGATACTTTCGCAATCTCGAATAGGGTGTGGGTAATTCGGTTAAGTTGTGTTTCCAGGTTCTGTTTCAGGGTTACTCAGTTTTTCCGAAATGGTTCTGAAAGATAGCCAAAGTAGGGGGTGGGAACGGGCAGGTACCTGAGATTTTTGGGAAACCCGGCCTCGGGCTCACCCTCCTCGGTAACAGGAGGTCTCGGTCTCGTTAAGGTTAGGTACCCGAGTTCCGGGTACCTGCAGGGAAGTGAGGGCTTAGGTACCCGACATATCACAGGTAGAGGTAGTTGGCGGACAAAACTCGTACACAAACCTGTGGCTCGGGTTTTGGCCACCACGGATATCCGCAGACAGGCGGGTTCGGATACCCATGCACCCCTCAGAAATTATTCAGCTAGGTTTGGTTTCAGTTTCGGTTTCAAAGTTTGTTAAAAACATTGCTCATTGTCTGTAAGCAAATGAGAAATGACTGAAATTGGACTAAACTGGTCTCTTCTACGACACAAACTCTGCTCATTGGGTTCCTGAACTGTATCGGAGTTTTCCGGTCGATCTAGGTTCGGAGAGTAGCCTAGATATCAAAATAAGGCATAAGGGAAGCCGTGTGTAACCTGTCAAAGAGCTGTTCTCGGGGAGGCGTCGGGGGAAGAACAGAGGGATCGAACCGTCCTCTCCAATCAACTTGAGCTCCGCCGTACTTGTTGAACCATCTCCTGAATGCAACAACAAGTGCGTCGGATTTTGTCGGAACAAAACACGCTTTTTGCCAGTTTTCAGGACCTCTCTCCAGTATCTTCCGCTCCTGCACAAGTAAAAACGAATATGAACCAAAGGGTCAACGATGTTTAAGATATTCCGGATCTTTACCCGTTTTAGGTTCTTTCTTCGGGTTGAGGATAAGATAAAGGTCGGGAATCACCTCGACGTGGAGAAGGTGTAAATCCGAGTCGAGGATCTTGTTCTGTCCGATATGGAAAACCCATCTCGGAACAATCTTGTCGATGATTAACCCGAAATTTCTCGGGAATGTCCATATTATCCTACTGCGACCTGGGCTGACGGGAATGCATATGAAGATCAAAGACACTCTGCGTTTTGGTGGCGTTGCCTGCGTAAAATACAAGTTAACATCGTTGAAAGAGAGATTAAGCAAATGCAATACACAAATGTAAAACTCGATAATCCCGATATATGCCGTGTTATTTCTACCACCTTGTCGGATGCAATCGGTGTCACGGACTCTCCTTCTTGCTCGGGTAATGGGTCGGTGGAAGCGCGATAAACGCATGGTGCGATAAAATTTGCATAACCCCATTCTTGTCTGGCAAAATAACCGTTCTTGTCTATTTTCTTGACATTTATTTCGAGCGGTTTGCCCCCTTCCCTATCGACTTTCTCTGCAAAGGAAGATTCAAAATTACTTTCACGGGTCTGTACTCTAAAGCGTAACAAAGAAAAACTCGATCGGGTAATAGAAGGAGATGAAATGCGGAATGTTATCTGCCTTTTGGTTTAGGAATCCGCATTAGTCCATAATGTGCATAAGGAACATGAGCCGGGTCCATGAGGTTTTCGATCAAGACATCGTACCTGAAAACTTCGAAATTTCAGTCATAACCTGAGCAAAGACTAGAAAAACATAACCCGAGAAAAGACAAGAAAAAATGACTATCTTTCGGAATATAATTTCAGTGATCAAATAGAAGATTTTCAGCCAATGACCCAACAAAAGAGCTCATTTGTCATATATGTGCAAATCAAAACCGGGCATATCTTTCCTTCTACTCGGAGTACAGCATTACCCGAGCAAAGACGAGAAAAAGGGACTATCTCTCCGTGTATAGTTTCGGTGATGAAATCTACGATTTTCAGCCAATGACCCAACACAAGAGTTCCATTCAAGTAAAAAGGGAAATCAACAAGAAATGGGGCAACAAATATGTTTCCACTATGCTAGCAATTTCAGCTTCCTAACGCAAAAGATCCCGGCCTCGTTTGCAAGAAAACGACAACTTTGTGAAGAAAAGAAAAGAACGAGGATGAGATGTTTACGAACCCGTAAGGGATATCTCTACTAGCAATCGGCTTAGCGAATGAGGGATCCTCCAACTCTGGTATGTAAGGGGGCTTCTTCTTTTCGATGATATTCATGTATCCCGGGTCCGTGTTTGGCCAAAACCAAATCATGTCATGCTGCACCATGCTCGGATAAACAGCCACACAAGCTTGCTTGAAAGTATGTACCTGAAAGATATGACAGAAATAGTCACGACGGTGCTAAAGATCATATGCCACAAAACACTATCTGGAACTGAAACAAGCGTATCAAACACAAACCTAAGATCACATGCCAATGCCACGAAACATAAAAACACCTTAGATACCAAAAACCATCTGGAGCTGAAGAACATTTCAAACACAAACCAAGATCATAATCATATGTCACAAAGCATAAAAGATTCTCGGCTACAAAACCATCTGGAACTGAAACAAACTTATCAAACAGAAGCTAAGATCATAAGCCACAAAACATTAAAGATCTTGGCCACGAGACTGATCCATAACTAGCAGCAAACTGAAGCAGAATTCAGAAAACAGACATATGGAGTTCGCAAAAGTTCAGACAGAAAGGGCAAAGACAAGACCATATCTTCACATACCGGAGGTCCATCAGTTGGTGCCTGAGGAATGAACTTGCAGTCACCGGAGCCATTGAAGCACCATCCATGGTACACACATTGCAACCTCCCCCATTGATCAATCCTCCCGTCAGACAACGGAGCAAGCCGGTGGGGACACGTGTCATCCATCACCTTCCATTGCTTCTCGTTCCTGTCCCACCAAACGACCAAATCAAGCCCCATAACTGTCTTCGCATGTGGAACCCTCTTGTCCAGATCGCAGACCGGCATGATCGGGTACCAATTCGCGTACCAATCGAACTTCTCCGTCCCGGAATCGGTTTGGATCTCCGGTTCCGATGGAGAAACCGATGAATCCGTCGGGAGAGTTGTTGATGACGAAGATGATACAGAGGCTGTGGAAAGCTTGGATTTTGACGAGGGTTTGAAGATTTGGGGAATTTGAGAAATGGATCTTGGATTCGAGAGGGAAGTGAAGATGGGTTTTGAGAACCGGGTCTGGGTATTAAGTAATCGAAGCGATGTAACACTGCAAGCTCCAAGAGCTGTTTCCATGGCGGATTCTCTTTTGTGTGTCCTTTTTTATCCGAAAAAGAGTATTATTTTGCAAACAGATCAAAAGCAGGAGCAGGTTTCAGAATCCACACGCAAATGCCAATTCATGAACCAGAAAACAGAAACAAGGAAAGAGAGAGAGAGAGAGAGAGAGAAGAGTTGCAATTTGCGCCTCCGCTTGCATGCCAATGAAGGAAAATGGGAAAACAAAAGAAAGTCAACGACAGAAGCAGAGGGATTTGAGGTTGAAAATGTTTTGAGGAAATCTTCGATTTAACGCCCCATACTTTTATAATATTCTAATAATACCCTAAAACTTATTCTGTCAACATTTTACCCAAAATTGATAGAAAAACCTCCAACATTTTTAAAGGTATTTATCTTTTAATACATTGCACGTGATAATTTCAATATTTTTTATTTTCTGTTATGTCCGAAAGATTGTATATTGTCTACATAACACACAAATCAAGACATTATTTTTGTAAAAAAAAAACATATATTAAAGACTCTAATTACAATTACATGTGAATTTTGGTAGAACTATTCATTTATTGTATTTATCTTGTAGTTATTTTTCCTTTACACATTCCTTGGAGCCCTCCTCCAAGCATCCAATGCTCATCAAGGTAACTGAGACCAGATTCAGTTGAGGTTTCTTGCAGAACAAGTTAGGGTTCTTCTAGGAGACAAGTTCAGTTGGTTCAACGCCCTAAATTGCATCTCTGATGGGTAATCTCTGACACAACCGATCCTCGGCCCCGCACCCGTCGTCCACCGACACGATAACTGTTTCCCCAGCTGAAATGAACCCGTCTCTCGTTCCGAAGTCATTCTCTTAAGGATCGAATCTCGAGGAGTGGTTACTTCTTCGACAAGCAATCCTTTCTTGGCTCCCAAGTAATGTTCTCCCTCACCATCTTCTTCATTTTCTTCTTCCACTGTTCCTGAAGACAATAATGGTGGTGGGTTTTGCTCATTGCCCTTGTTGCGATCTTCCGTTTGTTGTTCTGATTCATGGCTTTCGGGTATTTCTTCTTCGACCAGATCTTCATCCACTCCTTCCATCGTCGTTATCGAGTGTAGGGTTTCTGATACATCCATGTCTGATGAACCCATTCTTGAGTGACGGCCGTTAATGTTATCTTCTTCGTCTCCCTCCCCAGCACTTGTCTGAATTCATCAATGCAGGATTGTAGAATAAGATCACCATCAAGTATAAGAGAAGACGAATCTCGATCTGTTTCCATTTTCTTTTTTGTCATACCTTAACGTTAGTGAGATCGACGTTGTTCTCTCGTAGGAACGCAAGAAAATCTTGAAAATTTTCTTCCGTTGGTTGGTAATGGCCACTGTGAGGCCAAACCTCCTGCTCATATGTACAAGTTCCCGCTTATCAATCTCTTGTTTTCGAGATTCAAAAATGCGAAAAAGTAACAAAAAAATTTCACACGTAAAACCCGAAAACTGACATATGATTCCTACCTTGAGAATGCCATTTTCCACGACGAGTATTCCGGCAGCGATCGTTGCTCCACCGGCCAAGAAGCTTGAGTGCTGAAATCGGCCTTTCTTCTTCTTCCCGACATACAAAACCTTTGCTGTTCCAAGAACGAATATCCACTTGGCATTGATCTCTTCTCCGGTTGTGTGGATTATCTCTCCGGTTTGCTTATACCGGAACTGCCCATCTTGTAAAACTACCTCGTAAGCCTGTCTTTCGAGCTGTTCTAACAAAAAGATTCAAACTTTAGCCAACCCGTAAAAAAAATTCTTTTCGGAATTCTCTTGAAGTCCTAATTGAGTTTGATCAAGAACAAGAAAAGGTAGTATACCGGGCCAAGGTACTGGACACACTGTTGCTGAAGTTTCGACCGAGGACACCTTTCCAGATTCACTCTCTTCCCCTCTCCAATATCGAGCCTGGATATTTACGGAATGTACGACATATATAAAGTTTTTTCGTGTTTTTGCGGCGAAATTACAGACCCGAAGAATGTATCTGATCATAAGGAAAAAGGGCTTACCAGTAAAAGAAAGGTTGTTTGCTTTGAGTCTCAAGCCACTTAATGTAATAAAAGTGCAGATTATGTCCATACCGATGCCGTGGATCAATCTGTTTCATGCGTGAGTTACAGATCATCAAGATCGGAAAAAGACCGATGAATCTGAAAATATGAACCATATGATTAGAAAGTTGAAAAGAAGATTTTGACTGACCGCCTCGAGCCAGTGTTGGAGAGCAAGTTTCCGTGCTCTGGTGTTCTTCGATAAGCCCTTCCCGACCTGGATGTTTCACGACAAAAATCAATCAAGAATCGATGGTGAAAATTTCGGAAGCAATCTTTCAGGAGAAAAAACTCGCCTTTGCTGCTTTGGTTTTGGCTCTTGACCAGCGAGAAATCGCGGATTCTTGATCGCCCTTCTCGAAGAACAGCAAGGAACTCTGCTCTAGTTCCATGAAATCCATAACTTTCCACCTGAAAAGATCCGAGAAATCAGAAAACGAGGATGTAATCACGAAGAAAATCGATAGAAACCGAAATTATGATCAGAAAATCACCATCCTTGCTCCACAAGCACTGCACAATCCGCTAACTTCCTCCTCGTTCGGAAACTTTTGTACACTTTCTGCAGTTTCACCGCAGCCTCGTCCTCCCGACCCGTTTCTTTACGATCACAATCGCTCGGTTTAGCCACGCAACTTTCGCCCGTATCGGTTTCGTGGAACTGAATGGAGATGATCCCTTCCTTAGCCATCTTTTCGGGAGCGTCGGAATCAAGAACCGATTCATCAAAGCTTACTTGCATCTCGTACTCGTCTTTCCCGAATCGAATGGTCCTGACTTTTGCAGACTCTACGCTGTTTTCGTCGCCATTTTCGCCATTCACCAGAGAAGAAGTTCTTATCCCCATCTCATAACCGATGATTTCTGCAAAACTTCGTCTCCTGTGTTCAAAGGACACAACAAACGCATAAAAACCTGAAGAACTTTCATTAATAATGTGATCCAAATCGAAAACAATTACCCAAATCAGAACGAGGAAAGACCCAAGTTACGAGATGAAGATATTCAAAGATCACATTTTTTTTTTGAATTTCAAATGCCATTGAAATGGTGAAAGATCGCATTTTTACATCTCATATTCCATCAAAAACAAGAAAGGTTACATTTTTATCCGATCAAATGGAGAAATGCATCGAAGCAAAGAGAACCCATTTCGCATTACGGATTACGGAAAGAGAGAGAGAAAAGGAAACGAGAAAATTCGGAAGAACACCAAAATTACCTCGAACGGCAATACAACGGATATGGGCAAAGGCAAAAACTGAATAATAACTCGTGGAATTTAAGGATTTTCTATTCGAATTTTAGAGTCTTTTGCATTGTTCATCGTTTGGATCCTCTCTCTCTCTCTCTCTCTCTCTCTCTCTCTCTCTCTCTCTCTCGTCCTCGTGATATGAGCTGCTGAAAACCTGTGAAGCAAATCAAGGGATTCGTCCTCAGGTGCATATGTAACATAACATTTGGACTTGTAATAAAAAAAAAACAGAGCAAGTCAATTTTTTCTAATAGTTTTTTTATTATTTAGAAAAGGGTTAATCTCCGATAAATACCTGTACTTTTTCCACGTCTCACTTTAATACCTGTACTTTTTTAATGTCAAAAAAACCCCTATACTTTTGAAAATGTATTAAAAAATACCTGTAATTATCTTCTGTTAATTGATTAATTCCTGTTACGTAACGGCGGAATATAATCGTTAAATAGGTTTAAGAAATGCCGATGTGGCGTTAACGGAGTGCCAAATAAGCACCACAATAGTGTTTTGTCCACATCAGCATGTTAAACCTAAATCCCCAAATATTAGCTCGGGCTTCCTCTTCCACAATAGTGTCTCTTCTCTCTGTCCATTACTTCCTCGTTCTTTCATGTTTCTGTGTAACATCGAAACCCAGAAAAGCTAAGCATTAGTTTTGACGCTGCTTCCAGCAACCCGTACTTGTGGGCTTCCTGTTTCTCCAACTTGGACGCCGTTCATCTCCGGAAAAGGTTAGATTCGAAAAATTGACAAAGAAGGTTAGGTTCGAAAACTCCAGTTTTACGGTTTCGCAGTCTGATTTCTAGTTGTCGATTTCGGACCAGAGAAGGTTGTGGTTGATTTGTTATATTCAGTTGATAGTTAAGCTGGAAGATGTCGAATAGTTTAGATTTTTAGGGTTTTGTAAATGGGTTCGAAATTGGAATAATTTGTAGTTGATAACTGAGTGTAAGTTATTTCTGATCGAACCGTGGGTAACAATGTGATGTTTTTTTTATGAAATGTTGGTGGAACTTAAGATGAGTGAAGGATCCGAAAGTATGTCAAATTCGAATGCTGAATCCAAAAGGGCAAGAAGTGAATCAAGTCAGTCTAAAGGTATTCCTTTCCGATGCGTTTGTGGAGGACCGGTTTGTAGGAAGACCTCAAAAACAGACAAGAATCCAGGAAGAGTTTTTTTTACTTGTGCTTCGCAGGAGGTTTGTATTTGGTTCGACTTTTCGCATATATTTGTTATGTGCCAGAGATACTGATGTTTTGGTTGTGTACTATTTCAGAGGAAATGTTCGCATTTCTTCAAATGGCTTGATGATGCATTGGTCGAGGAAAATGAAGATTGTCGGAATGAATTGGATAGAATGAAATCGTATTCGGAAGTTTTCAAGAATGAGTTGCAGAATATGAACTTTGAATCGCAGAAGGTTAGTGTGACATTGAAGAAGATAGAAGAACAGAAGAACTTTGAGGTTTTGAGCGTGAATGAGAATCTGAAGAAGATGGAAGAACAAATGACTGTGAGTTTGAAGAAGATGGAACAACTTATGAACTGTGAGATGGAGAAGGTGAATCTGAAATTGAAGAAGATGGAAGAGCAGATGATTGAATATAGAACCAATCTATTCCAAGTTATTGGAATCACCGTTATTGTCGTGATGCTGTTTGCTTACTATTATGGATTATCAGTCATATGATTTGTGAAAAATGTAATGGATTGTGTTATGAAATGGATGCTATGTAAGATCTTGGGATATGTTTTGTAGGATTTTATGGTGTGTAATGGATGATATTTATCGGATTTTATGGCATGTAATGGATGATATTTAACGGATGTTTCGTTATGTTTTTGTTGGTTAATATATAACCAGATAAATGAGGCACCAAAACACGTCTACAAAAGAGATGGTCATCTAGTCATGATATACATTTGCCTCTTTGATGCATAGGAACTCAAGTCTACAAAAGAGATGGTCATCTAGTCATGAAGTCATTAAACCCTATACATGAGGCACCAAAACACAAGTCTACAAAAGATCAAAAGAAGTCTACAGTAGTCATCACATTCATCCTCGGTTCTTTTGGCGCGGAGGCTGAAACCTCCTAGTTGTGCGGGATGATGAACCAACAACTTGAGGGGCTGATGATGGAGCAAGCGGACGATGAATCACTTGTCGATTTGGAAAATCTGATTGAATTGTCTGAGATGACTGTGTCGGAAAAAAAGACCCTACAACAATAATAACTTCAATTAGTACTTGAAATGATTGAATTAGATGTTTGGAATCAAATATTACCTTCAGCAACAGAGTTAGCACTACTCTCGGCAGGAACTGAGTTTGATGCAATAGTTTTCCTTTTCCTAGTTGGTGGTCTCCTACTCGGTTCACCATCTCTCTACAAACATGATAACTCACCATCAACATGTCCTATATAAACAATGCACAACACAAAGAGGATCCTAAATAATACCAGAAATTTCCTCGGACGACCCGGCCCTCTCGGGGGACCATGCACTTGATAGGGTTCGTTCTTGCATGTCTTTATGTTATGTCCAACTTGTTTGCATTTAGTACAGGTCATCTTTCGACCATGGCGTGAGATGTGACCAGACTTCGAAGGGGACTCATGTGGATCCTTCTTTCGATGGAACTTTCTGGGTCTTCCCGGCATTGATTGAGGAATTGGAACACCAAGAGGATCCTTCATAGTCTTTCTCCAGAAAATTTCTCCATTTAAAGGCAAAATATTGTTCTCGTATGTTGCAACCCATTTCTCCTTACTAAAGTAATGAGAAACATACCTACAGTGAAGAAGCATAACTCTTAAAAAGGAAACCTATAACTTCAGATAATGAATTATATTTAAACGATCAAGGTTCCAAAGAATACTTACAGAGATAAATTGTCTCGTCTCTGATTGATCACAGCAAGACCGTGAGTACATGGTATTCCGGTAACATCCCACTGTCGACAAGCACAAGTCTTCCCAACAAGATCGACAGAATAACTAATGCCCAAATTCATCACTTCATATTTACCATGGCCACTGGGAATCACCATACAATACCCACCATTCTTCCTTGCTTTCTCTAACTCCTCCATCGCATGAGGACTGAACTCAGTCACACATTTAGTGGCCTCTTTAAAACGTTTTGCAATCCGTTGCATGGTTTTTCGACGGATATCCTCAAGCATATCCACTACAGGCCGCAATCTAGCATCCCTAATTGAGCTGTTATAACTCTCATTTAAATTGTTATTGATATCTCCACATTTGGATGTTTCTCTGAAAAATGCACGAGACCAATGTTTTGGATCTGTATTAACCAATGCCTCATATGCTGCAGTGTTGAACTCTTTCAATGCGGTGATGTGTTGAACAAATTCACCTTTGCTATAGCTGTGTGCAGCTGACCAGAAGAACTTCTTGTACTCTATATCCTTGAATTGCTTCTTCCAATTGGCATATATATGACGGGCACACATCCGATGTTCACAATATGGCAATTCTTCTGCTATAGCACGGATCAGACCCTACAAAACCAAAAACCAACTTCATTACAATCAGATATATTATGTAATTGCCGGAATGTATGGACATAACAATGAATGAGATACCTTTTGCTTGTCGGAATGTATTGTCAGATTTGCACCTTCTCCAAGGCCTAAATCTTGCTTTAATCTCCGTAAGAACCAAGCCCACGTAAAATTATTCTCAACACGTACCACAGCCCATGCTATGGGATATATTCTATTATCACCATCCCTCCCAATTGCAGCCAATAACTCACCTTTAAGTGACCATTTTAAGAAACATCCATCCAATCCAATAATTGGACGACAATGCCTCTTCCAAGTCTCTCGCAATACCTCGAAGCAAACATAAAACCTATCAAAAAGAATGGTCCCATCTTCCGCGACTGTTGTCCCGATTTCAGTTGTGGTGTTGGGATTACCTCTACGAATCTCTGCCTCATAATCCCATAACTTGGCAAACTGAGCGTTCTGATCTTGAACGAGTGTCCCCAATGCAATCCGACGAGCCTTAAAACATTGACAACGAGAAACAATCATTTGAAACTTTTCTTGCATCCTAGATTGAATCTTATTAGCCGAAAGAGATGGTTCCTTTCTGAGATCCTCGAGAAAGATCTTTGCTATGCGACTTGAGTTCAACAAATCTGCGTGAGTCCTCTTAGGGTGGTTGTGGCCATCGACAAATGTCTTTATCATCCACCTGTTCAATCCTGCATGAACAGAGCAGTAGATTCTCCAAGGACAGTCCTTTTCACAGCAAATTGCAGCAATCTTTCTGCTTTCACACCTTGAGAACTTCACATTAAACTTTGAATCCAACACATACTGTACTAATTCCTCTTTGAAATCATCTCCAGTGTTAAACGTCTTACCCAGAAATAGATTATGGTCAGAAGACCTACCCGAGCTACCATGCATTGGGTATTTTCCAATCTCGCTATCGACTTCTTTTTTTCCTTCATCATCGGTGATCTCTGGTGTACTAGGAAACTCATTGCCTCTATCATACCTTTCGGGATCACTTATATATTCAGCAAACTCTACACTGTATGTATAATGTTCGAAACTACCACCATCACCTACATCCCCAACACCATCATCACTACCATCATTAACACCATCATCACTACCACCATCACTAACATCATGACCAACATCCCCTAAATCACAAGCATCTCCAACATTATCTCCAACATCAACACCACCATCACTAACATCATGACCAACATCCCCTAAATCACAAGCATCTCCAACATCATCACCAGCATCAGCACCACCATCTGCTAAATCACAACCATCTCTAATATCATCAGCAACATCATGACCAAGATCCCTTAAATCACAACCATCTCCAACATCGTCACCAACATCAGCACCACTCAATAGTCCTGATATAACAGGACCATCACTAACCTTATGTTCAATGAAAACATCTATCTCAGCACATGTTCTCGCCAAACTAATCAAATCCCTTATCTCTGAATCTATATGTTCTCGGATTGGTCTCAAACAACTCATTGCCTCTTTTGTTCTCTTATACCATATTGCATTCACAGTAGGCAATTTATTCTCCTTCAGAATATCCACAAACGAAAACCATGAAAAATAATCAATATCAAACTTACGTTCATACTTTTCTACACAACCGCCGACGTATTTAATCTCGTCATCCTCACACCATAGAGATCCTCCCATATGGATGTTTAGGGTGACAAGGAAATCGTCCGCCGACATCCTGTGAAGTAAAAACAAACACATTCATCAATAACACATCCAGAAACCAAACACGGTTCAAAACCCAGAAAACTAACCGAAACTACCATCAGTGAAATCAAAATCAAAACGAATACGTCTTAGTATTCCCGAACAAATAGGACTTCAAAACAAGAAAACGAAACTTTAAAACACCGAAAACCAAATCGAACATGTGTAGAAACCATCAACATCGACCGAAACCATCAACATGGACAGAAGATTTGAAGAACGAAGAAATGCAAAACTGGATGGGTATTCACCTGAAATCGCACCAAAATCTTCCACACCCGCCGAACAAACGGAGAAACTAAGTTCAGATTTGGAGAACTATTCGAAGAGAGACATTTAGGGTTTCCTTGTGCGAAGAGAGGAATTAGGGCTCAATTTCAGAAATGTTGTTTCGATTTTAGGGTTATAGAAGTTTAACCCTAAACCGTTTTTTTATTTTAGTCACTTCACTCATGCTGATGTGGACAAAACACTATTGTGGTGCTTATTTGGCACTCCGTTAACGCCACATCGGCATTTCTTAAACCTATTTAACGATTATATTCCGCCGTTACGTAACAGGAATTAATCAATTAACAGAAGATAATTACAGGTATTTTTTAATACATTTTCAAAAGTATAGGGGTTTTTTTGACATTAAAAAAGTACAGGTATTAAACTGAGACGTGGAAAAAGTACAGGTATTTATCGGAGATTAACCCTTTAGAAAATCATAAGTTTGGGAAATTCTTCTTTCAAATTATCGTTTTAAAAATAATTAAAATTTTAACTATTTATAGAAAATTGATAATGTTCCTTAAAATATAAGTTTTAAAACTGCTAAATAAATTAAGTATGATGCACACATACATAAGATTTACAAAGCCATTTACCTTGTAATAAAAACTAGAATAACATCTTTTAATCTAGTATATATTTCAGAGGCTCGTTATCGTTAAGTTCGGGTGAATGCACTCTCCACGTTTGGATTTAAATTCGGATAAAAGTATATTTTTTATGTTTTTTTAATCAATAGACCACCCCAATTTAGTTACGTATTTTGACTATTATTAGTATAACGTATAATGTTTATAATCTTGATATTTGTAGATGAAAAAATTCTAGATAATTTCTCACGGCTATATATATTATGATATTTGGCTACGGAGAAGATTTTGCTAATTATGGTGGTCCAACTCCAACCCCTCATTTAGATATAAAAAATGATTATATTAATTTGATAATTATGCACTATTGGACAATCTTATTGGTTGTGTTGGGCAAAACGGTCCTATTATTCATTATGCTTTTTATTTTTTCCATGCTAATGGTGTTATAACAAAATTATTTTTTAATTAATGAGTTCTACTTTGTTTATAATTAATGAGTTCATACAAAAAATTTATTAGTTTATTTTTGCCAATAATTTGTTTTTATCTATATACATATACCATATGTATATATTATGGGAGCCAATAAACTCTCTAAAACAATCTAAACTTTTATATACAACTTATAAAATTTAATAGAAATATTGTCGGTGTTGCCAATAAATTTAATTTGTACTAAACTTTTCATTTTAAATATATTAATGTGTATACATATAATAAAGTTATCAATAGGTTACACGTATAATCTAAAAGAATGCTCCTGTGTAGTTTGCAACTTATCGTTAAAAGATCTCTCGAAAAATGAAGGATATAAAAAATTATTGATATTTTAAACAATATATTTATTGTATATATTTTGAGTTACTTTCTGCTATTTTAAATTTTTTAATTTTTTTTTAAAAATTGTATCAGTTTAATTTATACTGATTTTTTGCTTGGTTTATAACTTTATATTAATTAATCACTTAAACTATTAGATTATTAATAGTTTTTAATAATAATTTTTGTAATCACTTGAACATAAATCGATAATACTGTATTTTCCATCCAAAATTATCAAACTTCCAGCGGAAAATAATCATCCCTATGCAATATAAAAACTAAAAAACAAAGGAGGTATAAAATAAAATAATTAAAATAAAATAAATGAGAACCCATTGATCATCTTGACAATCAAAATACAGCTAATGACCTATCATTTGCTTGCTTTTCTTTTATTTTTTTCCTCCCTAATTTGGCCCACACGTAAAAAGTATTATTTTTGGCGCACCAAAAATTGAATTAAAATATTTCAACTTTATTCGATTTATTTATATAAATTAAATTAATGTAGTCTGAAAAATATAAAAATTAAAATAATTACACCAAGTACAAAATATTGTAAAAAAACAACATTATTTTTTTTAGAATAACTAAAATCTTTTATGAATAAAATAAAAATATTTAGATTTTAATGGTAATTTTTTTTAAAATAATTAAACAAAATCACAACCGAAATTGAGACATTTGCATCCGCAAAACTAAAATAAGAAAAATAATAAAATAAAACAAATCTAAAATTTTCCCCTTTAATATTCGCATTTATCTCTCTCACCTCTTCAATCCCGCTTACTCTCTCTCTAGACACACCCCTAAAAGGATAGAGAGAGAGGAGGCTCAAACCCTAGTTTTTCCCGCCGCCGTTATCTGCCATGGCCGCCGAGGCGAACCAGCTTCAGCATGCTCAGCTCGCGATGGTTCTCGGCCCTGATCCGTCGCCGTTCGAGACCCTGATCTCCTCTCTTATGTCGTCTTCCAACGAGCAACGCTCCTCCGCCGAGGCTCTCTTCAATCTCGCCAAGCAGACCGATCCCGATACCCTCGCCTTGAAGCTCGCTCACATTCTCCAGCTTTCTCCTTATCCCGAGGCTCGCGCCATGGCTGCTGTGCTCCTCCGCAAACTTTTGACCCGCGACGACGCGTACCTGTGGCCGCGACTCTCGCTGTCCACCCAGTCGTCGCTCAAATCTTCGATGCTGTCGTGTATTCAACGCGAGGACACGAAATCGATCTCGAAGAAGATTTGCGATACCGTGTCGGAGCTTGCCTCCGGGATCCTGCCGGAGAATGGGTGGCCGGAGTTGTTGCCGTTCGTTTTCCAGTGCGTGTCTTCGGATTCTTCGAAATTGCAGGAATCGGCGTTTTTGATATTGGCCCAGTTGTCGCAGTACGTTGGGGAGACTCTTACACCGCACATCAAGCATCTCCATGGCGTGTTTCTGCAGTGCCTGAGCTCCGACGTTGCTAGTCCCGACGTCAAAATCGCTGCTTTGAACGCCGTGATCAGTTTCATCCAGTGTCTGTCCAATTCAACGGAGCGAGACAGGTTCCAGGATGTTCTTCCGGCGATGATCAGGACGTTGACCCAGTCGTTGAACAACGGGAACGAAGCCACGGCTCAGGAGGCACTGGAGCTTCTCATCGAATTGGCGGGAACCGAGCCGCGATTCCTCAGACGACAACTTGTTGACGTCGTCGGTTCGATGCTTCAGATCGCGGAAGCAGATTCCCTCGAGGAAGGCACCCGCCATCTCGCGGTCGAGTTTTTGGTAACCCTTGCGGAGGCCCGTGAGCGTGCCCCAGGGATGGTCAGGAAGCTGCCGCAGTTCATCAGCAGGTTGTTTGCTGTACTCATGAAGATGCTTGAGGACATCGAGGATGATCCTGCTTGGCATAGTGCAGAGACCGAGGACGAAGATGCTGGTGAGACAAGCAACTATAGCATGGGTCAAGAGTGTCTTGATCGGTTGGCTATTTCATTGGGTGGGAATACCATTGTTCCTGTTGCGTATGAGCAGTTCTCTGCGTATTTAGCTTCCCCGGAATGGCAGAAACATCATGCTTCCTTGATTGCGCTTGCCCAGATTGCGGAAGGTTGTTCTAAGGTATGGTCCGCAGCAGCATCTATTAGTCTTTTCTGCGGTATACTAAATTCTTGAGTTCGTGATTGCTTGTTATTGCTGCGGAATTGGTTTTCTTGACTATGAACCAAACTCTCGTCTCTTGATCACTGATGAATGATGATGAACCATTTTTGTATGTTTGATTGAAATCGTTTTGTCCTTTTAGGATGTTAAAACACTAATGTATGTCATTCACTTCTTTGTTTCCTTGACTATATTCTTCAGTAGGGTATATGATTTGATTGGTTTCTTCAGTTTCTTTCGTAACTAATAGTATGGGCACGGCTTTTTGATGGGAATTTTTCCCCAAAATAATATATGTCTTGATGGTTCTTAATAAATATACCCAAATGCAGATAATGATAAAAAACCTGGAGCAAGTGGTGTCTATGGTTTTGAGTCAATTTCATAGTACTCATCCTCGAGTGAGGTGGGCAGCCATAAATGCAGTTGGGCAGTTGTCCACAGACTTGGGTCCAGATTTGCAAAATCAACATCATCAGAGAGTGCTCCCAGCTCTTGCTGCTGCTATGGATGATTTTCAGAATCCTCGAGTGCAGGTTAGACTTCCTTTTTCATTCCTGAAAATATATATATTCATACGCTTTCCGTAGTGGCCCTGGGATGACATTTTATATGCCATATATACTCCTGCAGGCTCATGCTGCTTCAGCCGTACTCAACTTCAGCGAGAACTGTACACCTGAAATATTGGTGCCATATTTAGATGGAATTGTGAGCAAGTTGCTTGTGCTTCTACAAGTAAGTTGACTGTGTTTGGTTTTTTAAAATTCAATTTAAAGAACAAAGAAAGATAACTTTTGCCAACTGAAGATGCCTATTCTCAAATTTTACATGTATCAATGTGCAGAATGGTAAGCAAATGGTGCAAGAAGGAGCTTTGACAGCTCTCGCCTCAGTTGCTGATTCATCGCAGGTATAACTGAAGAACATGTGACCTGGATATGGTCTCCGTTTATATTGAACTCTTAGTCTAAGACTCTAACACAATTTGCTTTCGTAGGAACATTTCCAAAAGTACTATGATGCCGTCATGCCTTATCTCAAGACCATTTTGATGAGTGCAACCGACAAGTCTAAACGCATGCTTCGTGCCAAGTCCATGGAATGCATCAGTCTTGTTGGAATGGCAGTTGGAAAGGACAAATTTAGGGACGATGCGAGACAGGTATGTCTTCATGCATGTAACTTCTTGTGGATCAATTCCCTTCTTTTTGTGAAGATTATATCCACAGCTTTATTCTCTTTTATCTGCTATAGATATCTTAACTTTATTGGAGAGCTTTTTACTTGATGGTTGCATGAAACTACTTCACATGTGCATTCCAGGTCATGGAAGTGCTTATGTCATTGCAAGGTTCTCAGATGGAGGCGGATGATCCGATAACAAGTTACATGTTACAGGTGTGTATTTATTACTGAAATGCTTGGTATATGTATATGCATTACCATCCATACTAATTGTTCCCTTGCTTGTGTTTACCTTACACCGTTACAGGCATGGGCCAGACTTTGCAAGTGTCTAGGACAAGATTTTCTCCCATATATGAGCGTTGTTATGCCTCCTCTACTTCAGTCAGCTCAACTTAAACCAGATGTAACAATTACATCTGCGGATTCAGAAGATGAAGCTGAGGATTCTGATGATGAAAGGTTTTCACTCTTATTTCATCTGATCGTTAGAGTGTCTTGGAAAATGCTTCTATAATACATTGGTCGTCCTTTTTGTCTTAAATACACTACAACTTTGTTAACTGCTTTGCTTTTGAATCTTAAAATGTGAAAAATTTGCTTCATTTGATCAGAATGGTATGATCTCTCTTAAACCAAGTTAATGTTGTTGGAGCTCCAGCCTGCATTGTATATCGATAATATATTACTGGGTTATCTAACCCGTATAGTATATGTGATTTGGCCATCTATGCATTTTATATTAACTGCATCTCTCGATGCAGCATGGAGACCATTATCCTTGGGGACAAAAGAATTGGGATCAAAACTAGTGTGCTGGAGGAAAAGGCCACCGCTTGCAACATGCTCTGTTGCTATGCTGATGAATTAAAAGAAGGTTTTTTTCCTTGGATTGATCAGGTTGGTTTGGTTGAATTACTTCTGAATTTTGTCTCTTTCTGGCGATATTGCCACGAGTGGTAGATTGAGTTTATATTGTTCAGGTTGCTCCCACACTGGTTCCTTTGCTTAAATTCTATTTCCATGAGGAAGTTAGGAGAGCAGCTGTCTCAGGTATGTCAGAAACATGTCTTTTTCCGATCTTCCAGTTTCCTGGATCATAGGAACACAACTTTCGAATGAATTGGGTCATTTATCTTCTTTTTTTTTCCTAGCGATGCCGGAGTTACTTCGTTCAGCAAAATTGGCAATAGAAAAAGGAATTTCTCAAGGTCGTGATTTCTCCTATCTAAAGCAACTCTCTGACTACATCATTCCAGCCATGTTGGAAGCTCTGCATAAAGTTAGTGTGGGGCTTTCCCTGTTTTCACACGTTTGCATTTTTTTCCCTGTACTTTGATCCCTTTTGTGTATATTTGGTGGTTCATGAGTCATGAGCAAATCTTTTGTAGGAACCTGACACTGAGATCACCGTGAGTATGCTGGAAGCACTTAATGAATGCTTGCAGGTAATATTTCTTATGTAGTTAACAAGTTCTGTCTGTTGTGTTTGGAGTCAATATATTTATCACTGGCCTTTAGATATTTGAAACTAGATCTTGTTGAAATGTAAAAGAATCTTTGTTCGGGCCCCACCCCATGATTGACATTCGTAAATGGATCAGCAACCAATGAACTCTTGATTGTAACACAGTATTGGGTGATTATTCGAGCTATATGTCCAACTTCACCTGTGATGTGTGTAGAGATCTACTGCTAATTGTAGACTCCAACTTAGTCTTGCATTTCCTTTCTTTCAAGAAGTTATCTTACACTACCCTACATTAGCTTCTTTATTATCTTACACTATCCATGTGGTTCCATGGTAATTAGAGGTCGTATATAATATGAATTGGCAACTGTTCCTTCTTTCTTACCTATTTTTTCACTGTTCTTATTCTTGGTAAACATTGAGCATCAGAAGAATGATATTTGTTGTTAATGGGCGTGGTTTCTTGTTTCCCTATCCAATGATTTTGTAATTTATTTGACAAACTGTTCTTTTTGTTTCAAGTTTTTCGGTGTTTCCAATTCTTAACTTTCTTGGAAATGCTGCTCTCACAACATTTTATTATTAATTCCAGATTTCTGGAAATATTCTGGATGAGGGGAAGATTAGATCCATTGTTGATGAGATAAAACAAGTTATGACAGCAAGCTCTAGCAGAAAACGAGAGAGAGGAGAGAGGGCTAATGCTGAAGATTTTGATGCTGAAGAGGGAGAGCTTGTTAAAGAGGAGAATGAGCAAGAAGAAGAAGTTTTTGATCAAGTTAGTTTTCTTTGGCTTCCCTTTCAGATTCAAGGTTGGGTTGATTTATAGTGTTTTCATTTTCTCTTACTTTTGATGTCTGCTTTCAGGTCGGTGAAATATTGGGAACACTTGTTAAGACATTTAAGGCCTCGTTTCTGCCTTACTTTGATGAGCTATCCTCTTATCTAACTCCCATGTGGGTAAGTAGCTATCCTCGTGGTATTTAATACTACTTGAGCCCAGGCGGAAGTGTTATATAGTCAGAAATCGTGTCCTTTTTTAAAAGAATTACGTAGTCGCCGTTGTTGCCTACTATGATAAATTGGAACGGAATCTTGTGAATCCCTTCCCTTCATGTCATGGAGCAATAACTGTCTACTTGTAAAGTCGATTGAATTAATAGCATAAGAGTATGGTGATGGAAAAGGAAAGTCAACATGTTGATTAATGCGTATATAATCTCAATTTCAGGTCAGTATTAGATAATAAAATGTGGCTGTAGGAATTACATTGTGATACAATCACATCTTATTTTGCTCGAGGGTTCTCTTTAAACTTGATTGATTATTTTTTGGATGTCAATCGTTGAATACAGGGAAGGGATAAAACAGCTGAAGAGAGAAGGATCGCTATATGCATCTTCGACGATGTTGCAGAACAATGTCGCGATGCTGCCCTTAAGTAAGCATATGCAAATCGCAATACTATTTGAACTCTTTTTTTTCTCTCTAAATTGTAGCTTTTAGCTATTAATTGTAATTATGACTCCTTTGTTATGCGTGTTTTTCAGATACTATGACACTTATCTTCCATTTGTATTAGAAGCTTGCAATGACGAGAGCCCCGATGTCAGACAGGTCCTGCTTTCGTACTCTGTTAAATCGGGTGCTTTTGTATTTCTTTCTTGTCGATTTTTCTCAAATGAACTCTCATTCGTTTAGGCTGCTGTTTACGGACTTGGTGTTTGTGCTGAGTTTGGCGGATCTGTATTTAAGCCCCTTGTTGGAGGTCAGTCTTATTCAATGGCAGTTTCAGGGCGTTGACACATATTGTACATTGATAACATGTGCTTTTGCTTTAACAGAAGCTCTGTCAAGATTAAATGTTGTGATACAGCAACCGAATGCTCGACAATCTGAAAATGCTATGGTGTATGATAATGCTGTTTCTGCTATGGGAAAGATCTGTCAATTTCACCGTGAATGTATTGATGCTACTCAGGTATATAGTTTTTGCATCGTCTTTTATCTTATTGATTTAATTAGTCTTTTGTGTTGAAGTTAAGAGCTTTACGTTATAGCTGTAGCTTACGAGGCTATTATATATGATTATATTTATTTTCTTTGTCAAACCTTTATCCTGTTCGTCTTGATAACATGTCACTTGTGGTTTTCTTAGGTAATTCCTGCTTGGTTGAATTGCCTGCCTTTAAGAAATGATGTCATCGAAGCCAAAATTGTTCATGAACAGCTCTGCTCGATGGTTGAAAGGTAGTGTTGCGTCGGTTCCATATTGGTTTACACTTCCTAGAATTTTTTTTAGTTCTTGTAAAAAACTTTAACTTGTCTTCGCAGGCAAGATGCGAATCTATTGGGTCCCAACAACCAGTTTCTTCCTAAAATCATCATGGTTTTTGCCGAGGTACGTAGAACTCGCATTTAAAGCGGCGCTTTTGTTCTTCCATCCCCACCAATGGCAGAAGATTGAAATATATTTACGCTTGTGTTACTCTTTCTATCTTTGAACAAGATTCATCAAAACTTGAATAGTGTGGTTTATAGTTTATATTTATTCCCCTAATCATGAGCTGTCGTCACAAGTATCCAACCTGTTCCACAGGTCTTACATAACGCATTTTAGCGTAACAGGACAAATTCATCGAAAATTCTTCATTTGTGGTGTTGCATTGCAGGTTCTAACGGGCAAAGATTTAGTTACGGAACAGACAGGTGTTCGGATGATAAACATGCTGAAGCAGCTCCAGCAGACTTTGCCACCGTCTGCATTGGCCTCGACTTTGTCATCGTTGCCGCCCCAGCAGCAGCTCGCGCTCCAATCCATGCTCTCCTCGTAACGATACAATTTTGGCGAAGCCTTTCCAGCTTTTTTTCGGGTAAAAACAAAACCACAATACAAAGCCCTCTGGTCACTGTTGTGTTTGATTCTTTCGTTCCGCATTCTTTACACCACAAAAGGTCGGATCTTCATCGTCTGTTTTCCAAACTTCACGATGTTTCCCAAAGCTTTTCGCTTTTGCCCCTCAATTCGTTTTGAGCGATGATGGTCATCGGTCAAGGTTGCAACAATAAGTGTTTTTTTCCGTCTTTGTTCTACATTTCTCTCGGGTCTTGTTTCTCATGTCATATGTAGAAAGTGTATATTAGGGGTTTGGAGATGATGGGTTGTTGCCAGCTTCGTCAGCCGGGAAGTTTTGCTGCAGATTTTTGTCGGTACAGAATATACGATGAAGAAGAAAGGGGAAGCAGAATGAAAGGAAGTGTTTTATTTATTTGGTTGGGTATTGCAGATGTGAACATTTTGGAGGATGGATTCTTTGTTTTGGTTATTGGTGTCTTAACCCTTTTTTTGTTGAAATTACTCAGTGATAATAAAGACAAAAAATTGTGTGGTGAAAAATTACTTGGATGTGGAAGTTTGGTCTTTGTATAATGGCATTATTACCAGGTCTGGGTACCGGTCGGATTTATATTTGTGTGGATGATGATGGGGGTTTAGTGGTGGGTTCGAGAATTTTGGGTGACCCTTTATCCGAACATTCTGGGTTGAATGAATGAATGTCTTGTTGTACTAATTTGATCCTCGTACCTCTGTCTGCGGATGATCAAATCCCTCTGTCAATTTTTCATTTCTGGTCAAAATGTTTGGAATTGGAACTTTAACCCGAGAGTGTGTATTTTACGTTATGAGATTTAAAATTAAAATTTCCATTTCCAGTTGCCCGACCAGAAACAAGAACAAGATTATCAATGATCATTACAGGTAAAGGAAAGTGATGATGACAAGCGAAGCAATCGGAAGGAACAATCATTTTTTTTTTTCAAAATCCGTCCTACATAATCCTACTACGTCTATCACCTTACAGATACAGATACGAGATTGACATTTTATTATCAACTTGCAAAAGACACCACGAGATTAAAGAACACTATTTGCAGATTCGTAAACAGCCAAATGGATATCATAGACAATTTCCAGAGCAAATTGTACAGGATTTCAAAGAACACATTGAAGCATTTAATCCAAAAAAAAGAAAGAAAAGAAAAAAAGATTCAAAAGCGTCTCAAAACGAAAGCTCACGTACTCCGTTTGTGTGAAGATATCAGTACTCTTCACCCTCGTCTTCATCGTCCCCGCCTTCAGCCCCGACTTCTTCGTAATCTTTCTCCAGGGCAGCGAGATCTTCCCGCGCCTCCGAGAATTCACCTTCCTCCATTCCCTCGCCCACGTACCAATGCACGAATGCTCTCTTGGCGTACATGAGATCGAACTTGTGATCAATCCGAGAAAACACCTCAGCCACTGCAGTGTTGTTGCTTATCATGCATACAGCTCTCTGCACCTTAGCAAGGTCACCTCCCGGGACGACGGTTGGAGGCTGGTAATTGATTCCGCACTTGAACCCAGTCGGGCACCTATGAAAAAAAAAACCCAGACAGAAGAACAGTTTAAAATACCGAAACAAATAACTAACTCACATGAAACGATCCATTTTCCATTACTTATTACATAATCGGTTGCGTCTTCTTACCAGTCAACAAACTGGACAGTCCTCTTTGTCTTGATGGTGCCAACGGCGGCGTTAACGTCTTTAGGGACGACGTCACCACGATACATCAAACAACAAGCCATGTATTTTCCATGCCTTGGATCACACTTGGCCATCATACTAGCCGGCTCAAACACGGCATTAGTGATTTCCGGGACTGATAACTGTTCGTGATATGCTTTCGCAGCCGAGATAACTGGCGCATAAGATGACAACATGAAATGGATACGTGGGTACGGGACAAGGTTGGTCTGGAACTCCGTAATATCCACATTGATGGCTCCGTCAAACCTCAACGATGTTGTCAAGGATGATATGATCTGAGATATCAACCTGTTCAAGTTTGTGTAGGTCGGCCTCTCGATATCAAGGGATCTCCGGCAAATATCATAGATGGCTTCATTATCCAAGAGGACAGCCACATCGGTGTGTTCAAGGAGGGAATGTGTCGACAGAACACTGTTGTAAGGCTCTACAACAGCTGTAGAGACCTGAGTTCAAAAGGCAGAGCATTACTAACAAGACACAAATTAAGACATTACTGACAAAAACTAGAAACTCCAAGTAATAAACAACTAAACATTTAGCCGGATTCATCCTAAAACCATGCCTTTAAGGATAACAATAAGAAAGGAAACAATAACAGTAATGCTTATTGACCACAATTACCTGAGGAGAAGGATAGATTGTGAATCCGAGTTTTGACTTCTTTCCATAGTCCACAGACAAGCGTTCCAACAGCAAAGACCCCAACCCAGAACCAGTTCCACCGCCAACAGCATTGAACACAAGAAACCCTTGTAAGCCGGTACAGTTATCGGCTAGCTTTCTCACACGGTCAAGGCAAAGGTCAACAATTTCCTTCCCAACTGCACAACAACATGAACCATTAAAACCCGTAATGCTGAAGTGTTACAACTACATCTCATACCAGAGCTGACATGCCCTTCTTACCGGTATAATGCCCTCTTGCAAAGTTGTTTGCAGCATCTTCTTTCCCTGAAATAAGCTGCTCTGGGTGGAAAAGTTGTCGGTACGCTCCAGTCCTGACTTCATCGATGACAGTTGGCTCGAGGTCAACGAAAACTGCCCTTGGAACATGTTTGCCAGCTCCGGTCTCGCTGAAGAATGTGTTGAAAGCATCGTGCGCAACACCCACTGAAGTGTCACTGGTAAGAGACAAAACTAGTTCTTCAGCCTTGACAGGACAAATGCCTCATTTTGACAGCACACATCAAAGAGATGATTTTAATAATCCGTAATAACGAAGTTCATCTGATGCAAATGGATTCAAAAGAATATCAAGTGAAATGCGTGCAAATGAAACAATCAGATTTCACAGAATCCAACAAATGCTTGAAAGAATTTAACACTCAGAAGGGTCCGACACGAAAAATGCTAGCAGTGGGCTTACACAAGATTTTCTATTTTGTGCTCTAAACAAGAGGGAGAGAGAGAGAGAGTTGCGATTTGAATTCATTCAACAGAGTGGAGCAAACAAGGAATACCGACATCCCCAAAGCAAAACAAAGAATTCCAAAGTTCTAGGCGAAAAGAAACCGAAGAAACACGGTTCCTTCAGACCAAAACACACGAGAGTACCTAAATCATGGTGGAAATGAAGGCAATAAGAGAAACACAAAAAATCAAACAACAAATGATTCGTCCCCAATTCGTAAATCAACATGAAACCCAGTGTAACCGACACCAAATTCTATCGAACAAACACACATATACCAGTCCCTGTACATACAAAAGCTCAAAGAGACACCGATTCATACCTGGGCATCATTCCATCGGGCTGAATTCCATGTTCGAGACAGTAAAGCTCCCAACATGAATTTCCGACCTGAATACCGGCTTGTCCGATATGAATGCTTATGATCTCCCTCATCTTCTCTCGAGAACCCTAAATCCCCTCTTCTCCGTGAAAGAAACCCTAGTTCGATCTTCTTCCTCCTCTCACAAGAACTGTTACACCGATCGAGGTCGAAGATCGGAAAATGAGATCTCTTTCTTTTCTTTTCTTTTTTTTTTCAAGGCGAGGAGAAGATATTTTTGTTTATTTTTGGAGGAAAAGGAATATTTATGAAGAGGATTTGATAATTTTTAGGTATCCGCCAAATCGGTGACAGCCTTGCTTTGGGTCCCACGGATTTGCTTTTTTCGCCTGTCGCAGAATAAATTACTGTATTACCCCTTCGATGTTTGGTTTGGTTCATTTTAGTTTTCGGTACGGTATCCAGATGCTTGTTTTTGTTTATTTCTCCGTTGTTGGTCTGTCTATTTCCATATTTATTTAATTATAACGAATTTATATTCGTACTATGAGGGGGGAAATTTCCATTTTAATCCCTTTATTTTTAGATTTCTTACAAAAAAATATATGTTTTCTTTTTGTTTTTCCCTAGTTGAGTCTATTTATTAAATAAAATAAAATAATGGTCATATTATCTTTTTATATTCTAAATGTGGAATTTTTGTTTTGTCCAAAAGTAATTACGATTCAATAGGAGGGTTGTGTGTTTTCATCCAAGCAAGTACTTGAATATCTTTTTTTGAGATGAATTCATAAAATTCCATTGGAATATTTGGTTTTATATATAACATCAAACCAAATCCAACAAAAATATCAAACAATTATATTTTATCCGAATTTGATCTAAATTATAAAGGAATAAGTTCTTCAAACCCAAATTTATTGTATACGTACCGTATTTAAAACTGAAAATAAAAATATCTCGAAAAATTTAATGAAAATACAAATAAATGTTATTTAATTTTTTTAATAAAAATATATCGCCAATTGAATCTAATAAAATTCGAACCAAAACGATAATTGATATTAAAATAAAATGGATATAATTATTTAGATAAACCAAAATATAAATAAAATCCTAAACACACACCCTGTATCCATTATAAGAAATATCTAGCACTAAAGTTTTGTTTTTTCCTCCGCAATGTGGGGAGAGAAGAAAAAAAACAAATACCGGACTAACCGGTTCAAAAAGGGCATCATTAACCGGTTCGGGTCGGTTTGAAACCCGACCGAGTCAATATCGTAATTTCGACAACCCGTTAGGGGTAATTTCGGAAACATAAAATTATGGACCCCAAGCGCTGAGACAGGTCGATTCGACACGAGAGTGAGCTGTGCCGTTCTGTGGACTGCACACATTCACATGCCATACATGATACAATAATTACACATTTCTTTAATCGACGTATAAATGATTAAAAAAATTACGTGGGGAACATATTATTTCAATTTTTTTATTACCAAATAATAAAAAATAATTTACTAATAATTAGATTCTTCATTAACATAATCGAATAACATTTGTCTTTTTATAAGATCCGGAAAACATAAGATCCGCCAAGTAGTTAGTTTAGTTGACAAAGCGACGCTATTTTTGCACTAATCTGATGTTTTTAGGGTTTCCTATTTTCGAAAATGAAAATGGAATTTGTGTCAATTACAATTTACTTTATGAAAATTAATATGGAAAACCTTCCAAATAACTACTTAAGTGCTAATCAAATTTAAAATATCGATCGCATTATAACGATCACTCGTTTTTGTATGAAAATTTAAAATATTTATCCGGACTTCTATACAATCATTGTTTGATAGTTGTAGTTTTTTATTCGACACCAGCATTATATTATCTCGTAAGAAACAAAATAAAATTAAATGTGAATCTAAAATATTGGGAAAAATAATTATATAAGAAATAATTTAATATGTTAGGGTAAACCGTTCGGTTTAACTTGTCCAAATTAAATCTTTATAAATTTTAATTAATTTGGACTTAAGAGTATATTTATAAATTAAAATTTGTAATACTGCAAGTGCATGTCGATGAATCATCTAGCATTCGTTAATCTTTTTCGGATTGATTAATGTTTTTTTGAAATAGAGACACCAAAAAGAGAGAGAATGACAATACGGATAAATAATGTTTCTTTTTATATAATTATCGAATTCTAAATTTTTTTATAAGGAGATAAAAGAAAGCTTTTTTTTAAACATAACATTTTCATCATTCGGTAATGATTTAGAATGAGATATTTGAGTTTATTTATTATTATAATAATTAGAAATTTTTTTATGTTAATTACATATTAGCATAAAATTTCCAAAAATTATATCCAATAGAATATAGGAACGAATACGGACCATTGCTATTGGGCTGGAGATTGTAACGATGGGTTCAAACTCAAAGCCCAATCTAAAAATGGGCCCTACGGATGTTTGGTTTCGTTTCGACCATAGGGACTTGTAGTGTAATAACCCAATATATTAGGGGTATAAATGTAATTTCAGGCTAACAAGGCATTGCCTTGCTTTGCTTGCTCGTTTAGCAAAAGTTGGGCCCCTTACTTCCTCGTTTGGCGGGCAATATTAATTGAAATATTTAATTATATGTTCATTGACCATCTTATCCTTTTCGCCTATAAATGTTTTTTTTGTTTGATTACAATTTTAACTTAAATTTTATGTAATAATTACGAGTTTGATATATTTTGGTTTTATTTTTTTTATATTTGTATGATTTTTTATAATCGTATATAATTATTTCTATGTAATATATCAAAGAAAAGATTGAACTTTAAAGACATATTCATTTTAATTCACATAATTTGATTTATTTAAAACATGTATCCCTGATTATATATCAATCTCTCGTAAACAAGAGGATAACTAAAAAAATTATTGAGAAAAAAAAATGAAAAAGCTAGGAATTAAGTCGAGTCGAATCAAGGGTAGAATTGTCAATTACAAAAAATACATCACATGTTGATGTGGTGCAACTAGATGCAATATTAAAATACTGAGAATATTAAAAAAAATACCTTAAAAGAAACCCAAAAAAAAAAGAATATGATAATGAAATGAATGGGAAATGCGTGTCAATCGTATTCCACGGAAGATAGAAATTAATAAAAAAAAAAATTAATGGGAAAACAATCACCAAATTTTATCCATCAAATGAAAAAAAAAAAAGTTTTCACACCTAAATAAGAAAAAAGAAAAAATACTTTTTGTGAAAAAAACATATAATTGGAAAATATTAAGAGAGAACAAAAATAAGGGCTTGGTTGGTTGTGGTGCCGTTTCATGTTCATTCAGCTTTCCATTGTAGTAATATATAAAACCCCCCCGAACCATTTCTTCCTTTCGCCTTCTCGAGCTGTTCTCTCTCTCTCTCTCTCTCTCTGTGCGGAATCTCTTCTAGACTTCTTCTGTTGTGTGTTCGAATCCGTTAGGAAAGAGATGGCAGAGGAGAAGAAGGCTAAACCGAGCGGTGCCTGGACCACCGTCAAGCCCTTCGTCAATGGAGGCGCCTCCGGTATGCTCGCCACATGCGTCATCCAACCCATCGATATGATCAAGGTATGTGTTTCACTCGTGTACGTGTATGTATCGGTGTCTGTGTGTAATCACTCGTGTGTGCGTACGTGTGGATTTTGGTTGTTGATCTGATGCTTTTGGTGTGCTCTCGATTCGTGGAATTTGTGATGTGCTCCCAGATCTGGGCTTTGGTTAAATTTGAATTTTGCCTCGGCTCGAATTTATGTACATTTGTTTGTGTTTGTGACTGTATCCATGATTTGTTCGCCGGTGTGTAATTATATCCGTGAACTGTTACTTTTGATCTGTTTTCTTAGTGCTGGAAATTCAGTGTTTAGGTGAAAATGTTTTACTCAGATCTGATTTTTTTTGTTAACATTAAGTGCATATGCACATCTGATTGTACACTCGTGCACATGTGCATTGATCCGTGGTGCATATATGGACTTGTGAGCAGTGCTAGAGATTTGGTTTTCAAGCGTTAGGGTTCATATGATTTGATTCAAATGTACTGAAAGGTATGTTTTTTAATGGTGTAGGTGAGGATTCAGCTGGGCCAGGGATCTGCAGCCTCTGTGACCAAGACCATGTTGAAGAATGAGGGATTTGGTGCCTTTTACAAGGTTGGGATCTGTAATTTTTTTTTAAAAAAATTATTTGTTCTCCTTGATATGTTTTTCTGGGAATGGATTTAATTATCTTAGAAATGCAAGTTCTAAAAGGCAGAAAATGGATCATTTTCTGGGTTGGGTGGCTTTTCTTGAGATTCAGGCATCAAGGGTTCATGTGGTTGATCTATTTTTTCGTTGGGATACGGTTCTTTGTTCACGGGATTTAATTGACATCTAGATACCCTTTTCGTTTATTCTGCCAATTTTTACATTGGTTTCACTCATATAGTCATGTCTTATGACGATGTTTGAAGAGCTTATTTATGCCGAATTTTTGCAATAGGGGTTGTCTGCTGGTTTACTCAGGCAAGCAACTTACACCACTGCCCGTCTCGGATCATTCAAGTAAGTCACCATTGGTGGGTTTTATGCTATGCCCATTCTCCGTCGTTAATACTCTTTAGTTTCAGCTTTATCTAGTGAGAAATCCTACTCTCTTGTCTTGTGTATTCATAGAAGTACCGTTATGATTTAGGATGTTGACGGCAAAAGCAAGCGAGGCTAATGAAGGGAAGCCCCTACCTCTATATCAGAAGGCTTTGTGTGGTCTGACTGCCGGAGCCATTGGTGCTTGTGTTGGAAGCCCAGCAGATTTAGCACTTATCAGAATGCAAGCTGATGCTACGTTGCCCCTAGCTCAGCGTAGGAATTACACAAACGCCTTCCATGCCCTTTCCCGTATAGTTGCTGATGAAGGAGTTTTAGCACTTTGGAAAGGTTGTGGTCCTACCATGGTTAGGGCCATGGCTTTGAACATGGGAATGCTTGCTTCTTATGATCAGAGTGCCGAGTACTTCAGAGATTCCCTCAATTTCGGGGAAACATCTACTGTGGTTGGTAAGTTACACTCTAGTCCAAAGGTTTTATTATGTTTATCTGTTTTAGTTGTTTTCGGATGTTATTGTTCTTAGGAGATGTTTTCTGTGAAAACAGAACTGTGACCTAAATACATGTAGAGAACTTCTTTTGGTTTAGGTTGATGGAAAATAAGCACTCTTTATTAACATGTGATGATACTTTTGATTGCTAGATCATAAAATACAATGTAGATACCGTTGGAACTTTAAGTACCCTTTTCTTTGTTCCAAAGGGTGTTTGTGTTGCGATAATATGATCGTGCTTCTTGTCTGGTCCTCTCTCCTACATAAACTTTCAGCCTTTGGAATGTAACACAGGGGTCTTGTAGTTGATGGCATGAGAAAGCATTTTAGCGTATTGCCCCAAAGCCTTCATTTTTCTGGCATCTGCTATTTGTATCTTTCTATATTGTTTGACCATGCTATATGTGCAGCTTTCTTGGATCCATTATTTAGGACTATATTTCTGCTCTTTGCCATTTAAACACTTCTTTCTCCAAATTATAAGACGAATTCATTCAGATAGTGTCTCAACCATTCTACAATCTGTGTTGCGGTTCTTGAATATCTGCTAGCTTAAACCTTATCTGGGAATTGAATCCGATGATTTCGATCTTTTTTCACTGATATTGGTACAACTTTGAGTGAAAACTTCGTAACGCTTTCTATGCCGACATCTCTATGCTTAATCTGATCAATGCTGGTTGTCTGAACTTATATTTTTGTTTACTGATTGTTGCAGGAGCAAGTGCTGTTTCGGGGTTCTTTGCCTCAGCTTGCAGTTTACCTTTCGACTATGTCAAAACCCAGATTCAGAAAATGCAACCCGATGCCCAGGGAAGATATCCCTACACCGGATCTCTCGACTGCGCCATGAAGACCCTAAAATCGGGCGGACCTCTGAAATTCTACACGGGTTTCCCGGTGTACTGCGTTAGGATCGCTCCTCACGTCATGGTAAAAACTCCTTCCCCTTTGTCACCGTTTCTCGGGTTTCACGATATGTTTCTGAAATCTTTTCCGGGTTTTTTTGGGCAGATGACATGGATCTTCCTTAACCAGATCCAGAAACTGGAAAAGAAGGTTGGTTTGTGATGTTCTTTGAGCACTACCAAAGCTCTCCATCGGGGAAAGAAAGGGAAGGTAAGCGAATAAGATAAAGCAGCAGCGGCAAGACTGGTGACACATTTTTGGCTATGATTTTTTTTTCTTCTGCATTTTGATTTGATATAATAATATAACACTACTGTTATTATTATAAATCTCACGAAAAAGCCGTGATGCACATCGGCTCTTTCCATTCACTTATCAAAATTTTGTCTTTTTTTAGATTCAGGTTTTCTTCATAATTTTTGTTGCGGGGTGTGACTTGGAAACCTCTTAAGGGTATTTCAGGAATTCTATACATTCAGAAAAAAAAAAGTATTTTTGTTTTCCTTGTTGAAAATTGAAATTAGATTTCGATACTATCCATCACCGAAACGAGCAAATTGCGAAATTCCTGCAATGGCGGCATCGACGGTGTTCGCGTTCCTGATCGCTGTTTCCACTTACTTCGTCTTCCTTCTCTTCTCTTCCCCGTCAAAATCTCACTTCCACTCGCTCTTTCTCTCCCCTTCCTTCTCTGACAACTCCTCCATTTCCCTCCACCTCCGTGCCCTCACGTGCCGTCCCCATGTCGCCGGCTCGCCGGAAAACTCCGCCGTTGCCGCGTATGTTCTGTCTACTCTCACTTCATACGCCGTCGAATCTCACATCGCCGAGTATCATGTCTCCTTGACATACCCAGTTCATCGATCCTTGATTCTAACGCCCGGAGAAGGAAATACACCCATCGATTTTGCTCTGAAGCAAGAACCCGCCGGAGAAAATCCTCATGCGGACGAAGTCATGCCCACTTTCCATGCATACGCGAAATCAGGTAATGTCTCTGGTCCCGTGGTTTACGCGAACTACGGGAGAGTAGAGGATTTCGTTACTCTGAAGGAGATGGGTGTGAATGTGTCGGGAGCTGTCGTCTTGGCTCGGTACGGACAGATTTACAGAGGAGACATAGTGCAGAACGCAAACGACAAGAAGGATTACGGCGGGGGACGAGTGGTTTCCGGCGGATAAATGGATGCCCCCGAGTGGGGTTCAAGTGGGTACTGTCTACAATGGCTTGGGTGATCCGACAACTCCTGGATGGGCAAGCGTTGACGGGTGTGAGAGATTTTCGGAAGATGCAGCGGAGAAGAGCCGCGATTTTCCGGCGATACCTTCGCTGCCGATTTCGGCGGCGGACGGAGAGGCGATCATGAAGTCTATCGGCGGAGATTTGGCTAAGGAAGATTGGCGTGGAAGAGACGATGGTCCTGTTTACAGAATGGGGCCTGGACCTGCGATATTGAACTTGAGCTACAGTATGAGTAACGATGAATCTCCTTCATACGGATTTGGATTTGGATTTGGATTTGGTTTTGGATTTGGATTTGGGGTGTTGTCTTGGAATTTCAGGGGAAACATGTTATAGCTATGATTGAGAACGTCATTGGAATGATTCGAGGAGAAGAAGAGCCTGACAGGTAAAAACTACCTTTACAAAAGCTTCTGTAAGATTCTGGTTTGTTCAGTTGTGTTCATCTTTGTGTCTGTAGATTTGTAATTGTCGGAAACCATCAGGACGCATGGACATTTGGAGCAGTTGATCCGAACAGTGGAACTGCAGTTCTTCTAGAGGCGAGTGAAATTCTCCCCACATGTATATCCTGAATGTGCAGATTCTACATTTTGACGGTGATTTCTAGTCCGAATCTGAATTTATAGATTGCTCAAAGACTCGAGAAGTTGCAGAGGAGAGGGTGGAAGCCTCGAAGAACTATCATTCTTTGCATTTGGGATGCCGAAGAGTATGGCCTGGTCTCTATCTATCCATCTATCTAGACTTCTTCCATTTGTTTCGTGTAATGTTTTGAAAAATCGAAAGAACTTTGGATTTGATCTGTTTCTGTAGATAGGATCAACAGAGTGGGTAGAAGAAAACCGAGAGTTGCTATCTTCGAAAGCAGTGGCATACCTGAATGCAGACTGTGCAGTATCTGGTCCTGGATTCTATTCCTCTGCTACTCCACAGCTTGATGAACTTATCAAAGATGCGGCTCGTAAGGTGTAGTAGAAGTCATTTACTTTTTGTTTTGATTATCCGAACTTGAATGTATCGAGTCCCACGAGATCTTGTCTGATTTTGGTTCTGTTTTGATCAGATATCCGAGATAATTTTTGGTTATTCGCGGGTACCCAAAACCCCGAGGCCAACTAGTTCAGAACTCTAGGTTTGTGTGTAATTTATTTAGAATTTGGGGGTAGAAGAAAGGTAATTTTACTGTTTAACCGGTAATATCCGTCTGCGACCCAATTAATCTGGTTTCTAACATGATTTTTGGGTTTTCCTCATATGATCAAATCTAATCTCATCTGATACAATAGTTGGGTATTCATAATTTGGGTGTCCAAAACCCCCGGGTCGGGTCGAATACTAAAAAGTCAGGTTTTTTTCTTTCCAGCCCGGTTGATTACTTTGTTTTGAATTTTAAGGTCCCGGATCCAGATAATTCGACACGGAGTATCTACGAATCGTGGGTAGGATCAAGCAAGTCCCCCGTGGTGAGTAGAACGAGAACTCGTATGAAATATCTCTTTTCGGGTTACCGAATTGTGCTTTCATTATGTGAAGATTGGAAGATTAGGAGGAGGGGGATCCGATTATGCGTCATTCGTGCAACATGTTGGGGTTCCAGCTTCGGACATGCATTTTGGACAAGGTAAATCATCTTAACCCTCGTAGGATGAAGTGATCAAACTCGGCACTTTTGTTATAAACGATCTGACCGATGAGCGTTGAACTGTATTAGACAGAGCAATAATTCTAACCTACCTGTCTACACAACACTAATCTCATTCTGTTAATTCAACTGTATCCCACAAAAGTTGAGGCACAATTCCTCAGGGCAGTATCCATTCCACGGGTATCTGATATTCGGAAACCCGAGCTGTGATGGGAATGAGACACCCGAACCGCAGGTTCGGGGTTTCCTCAGGTTGATTACCCGTACTCCCAAATCGAAGGGATGAGGGACCTGAGGGTGTGGCAAGGCCATGAAGGTGAGATATGAGGGTCGAGCAAGCGAGACCGTGAGGAGGTGAAAACCCTAATTTCTGAGGAAGATGAGGGCTGCTAGGCGGCGAAAACCGAGAGGGGGAGAGGGATGAGGGCTCACCTCACCTCCTTGGCTCTGCCTTCTGCCCTCGCCGCTTGTTGTTGCTCGCTCGCTTCCAGTTGCCGTCAGGTACATCCCCCCTATTATTTCGACACCTTGTAGCGGCATTGCCTTCTCTGACCTCAGGGTTTTAGCCATCACCTTTCTTTTTTCTCGCCGTTCCTCTGACGACCCCCCGTCATGACCTCACCCCCTTACCAGTTGGGTATATGAGACTTCGCCACACCCTATGGGTATCCGACCTTCACTAGGTTGACACCGGATAGCTCCACCAAAAAAAAGAGAGGGTGAGACCAAGGTCGGATACATCGTAAAATTCAAGTACTTGAACCACTTCCACTCCTCCAATTCGTTGTAGCTCTGTAGCTACTTAGCAACTAATTCTCGAAATTTATCAATTTCTTGGGCAACACGCGGAATCCGAGAGTGTTTTAGTTTGGTTCAAGGAAGTTTAAGACTACAAAGTTGCTAACGGTAGTCCTGAATGGCAGGCTATCCGGTCTATCACTCGATGTATGACGACTTCACTTGGATGGAAAAATTCGGGGACCCGTCTTTCCAACGGCACGTTGCAGGTTTGTCGTAAAAGTAACCGTATTTTACCTCTCGATACATCTCATACCATCACACACACTTATAATAACTACGAACGATACAGTGGCCAGCGTATTGGGTCTCGTCGCTCTTCGGTTAGCAGATGAAGTAATCTTACCTTTCGATTACCTTTCCTATGCATCCGAACTTCAGGTAATTGATATTTCTAATACAATATCAACGTTGTGATCAGTTAAATCTGTCGTTTACAATGTTATTAGCCACTTGAAACTTTAATAGACGTTCTGTTAAGGTTTTAATACCAAAATCGGCTAATAATACCATTTTAGGATCTTTTTGTTTATAAGAAGTTTATAAATGTGACAATATAAAGTTGATTTCAGATTATTACTGCTTAATTATCGTAAAACCGATGTGATTTGTCAAGATGCGATGAGTAGAAAAGCGTGGAAGAGTTGCAGAGCGAGACCTCGGGCCATAACATTGATCTTTCCCCGTTATTGAAGTCGATCGGGGATCTGTCTAAAGCTGCAGAAGGGATAAACAGGGAGAAACAGGTACCATAAAGATTTAGATCACCAAAAAAACAAAGTGACGATAACTTGTTGATATTGAAGTGTTGTGAGTCTTACAGGCAATGATCGAAGGAGACAAAGGCTGGAAAACGATGTGGTGGAAAGAACCTTTGAAAGAAAGAGAGCTTAATGACAGGTTAATGATGGCAGAGCGAGCATTGACAGACCCAGATGGGCTCTCTGAGAGAACCTGGTACAAGCATTTGGTATGTTTTGGATAAACAAAGCAACTAAGCTATTTTGACAACCTTAAACCCGAAACTGTAATCTTGTTGCGGGTGGGCGTGGTTGGATACTCGTGTTTTTTCGGTGTACTCGATCTCGGCCTTACACCTTCGGGTTTCCTGGTTAGAGCATTTTGGTCTCGTGAGAGTCAGATATCCGAAACTTGGGGCACCTGCGGGGTGCAACGAGGATTCGGGTACTCGGCTGGCAAGGGTAGGTGTAGGTTAGATGCTCTTGAGTTTTTTGCTTTTGCCATACTCGATATCGGCCATACACCTTTGGGTTTCTAGGTTGTAGTACTAGGATCGACTTTGTGAGAGTCGGGTATCCGGAGATCGGGTACCCAGGGGAGGTTGCTGGAAAGATGAGTAGCGAGGGGTGATATGATCCCAAGATCGATAGATTTCCCGATAGGCGGTGGATGGGTTCCCTAAACCCCTAAACAACTCGTAAACGAAACCTAAGCAAGCGTTCGAGACGAACGGTCTTAAACCCTTATTGGACCTAAAATTTGGGCTTCACTTGTGGGTCTTCCAAGCTTGATATCATGTGAATAATGGGCTGGGCTTGTTGTTGGACCAACCCAACACATTCTTCCAAGTGTTCTTGACCCAAAAGAGGGAGAATAAGGCCATTTGGTGCAGCTTGCAGCTTCTTGGCACGAGATCTTGTAATCGGTCCAATTGGCTCAATGCTTTCTCCCGCTGTGTTCATCTCGTAGCTAGCTTCCGATGCAGCTCGTCCTTGCATGAGTTCAGCTCCAATGGTGTTGCCTTGGATGTCCACATCAAGGGGTTGAGGCGAGAGGGTAACACCATTGTCTCGAGTTAGGGTTAATTGTGAAACCCTAATCCTCTCGCGGCCTTTCGCGCTCTCGCCCTCTTACCACCTCTCCCTCGTGATTTTGGTGTTTGTTGATGTGCAGATATACGGGCCATCCAAGCACGACGACTATGGATCGAAATCATTCCCAGGAGTAGACGATGCTTTAGAGAATGCAAAGAGACTGAACACGGAAGAATCGTGGCAATCTGTCCGACACGAGATCTGGAGAGTGTCCAGAGCAATCAGGCATTCTTCACTTGTCCTAATGGCTCAACTCACTTCTTGCAGATGTCTGATTACTTCTTCCCTTTGATGACATGATCGAACCCTGAGTTCTCTGTTGAAGTTTGCAACTGTTTCTGTAGTTAATCTGTAGTTAATCCGAGTTTTATATATTTTTTTTGGTTTGGTTTATATTTATTTGGTGTTTAATAACAAATATTTTAAATCAGTTTTATGTTTATTCCAATTTATATTTACCTCAATTAATTTTTTAAATAATACCTAACCAGTTTCAACTGAGATTAATGTAATTGTGTATTATCTATGTAGAATTAATTCAGTTTTGCAATATAATGTAGCAATAATGTTAGGTTTCCAAGTGAAATAAATAAATTTTATGTTTATTCTAGTTTTTTTTTTATATAATTGCCTCAATTAATTTGTTTTTAAATGGTACCTAACCGATTTCAAATGAGGTTAATATAAATATGTAGTATTCTTTATTTCGAATTTAATTCAGCTTTGCAGTATAATGCAGCAACAACAATAATGTTAGGTAACCAAATTAAAAAAAATTGAAAAAAAGTCATTCACGAGTATAGTTTTGTCCTTTGTCACACGCCAACAGGAATTAAGAGACAGTCACGGGCACTGAACTGAAGGCCAACATCTGTTCTTAGACTTAAAAGCCGCAGCACATTTATTTCCTTTTTTTATTTCTTTTTATAATTTATAGTAACATAGGAAAGTTCACTTCTTTGTGGCCTACAGTAGTATGTGCTAGTTAAAGTATTTTTTTTAATGCATATTAAAAATAGTGTAATTATTTGAATTGTGAATAATTTGATTTTTAACTCTGTTAATATTTTTTTATTAATTCCAATTAGACCGAAACTCAATGCAGTTAATTTAGATCCATGGACATGTCTTTGTATCTTCATGGGTCATTTCAACGAGCAATTCGTTGTTAATTCATTGAACGATCACACCTTGCATGTGATACGCGGTATAGAAATGTTGTTGTAAATTGTGTAACAATGAAAAATTGACGTCCAATTATTGAAATTGATCATCTTATATATATATATATATATATATATATATATATATTCACTCGTGATTGCTAACTTTGCTTAATAGAAAGCTTGTCACAACAATTCACATTTCATATCAACAAAAAAAAGCTTGTCACAACAACTCATTTGACGTCGGATTCAACACACACACACACATATATAGATAATATATATCAAGTTCTCGTTGTCTCTTTGTCTTTTTTCCTATCTCTCTCTCTCTCTCTCTCTCTCTCTCTCTCTCGCTCTCTCTCTCTCTCTGCGTGGATGTGAGTGGAAGCACCCGTGACTCGTTCTTTCTCCGTCATTTGATTCTTGAATTCTTCACTTTTCACCTAAATCCAAAAACCAAAGTACCAAACACTTGACGACCTCACACACACACACGCACATACACGTGTGGTATGTGTGTGTATATATATATGTATAGGAACATATGCGCATGAACACGCACACACACGCACAAAACAAAAAAACAAGGACCTCCCAGAAAACAAATCCTTGTTTCTTGTCTTTTAAATGTCCAAATTCACCAATTCAAACCCATTTCTCACTCTCCTCCTCTCTCTTCTTCTTCTTCTCCTCTGTTCCTCAAGAACACAATGCCACACAAAGGGGCTGAGATTGCGGCCGAGGAACACGAAAAATGTGAATCTGAATCGAACCCAAAACTCAGAAGAACAGTTCATGAGATGGGTCAGATTTGTCGGGAGCTTGAAGCATTCCGTCTTCAAGACAGCGAAGAACAAAGTGTTCCCTTCCTACACAATCACTGTCCATAAGAACCCTAACAAAGGAGACTTCGTCAAAATCCAAGACGCTATCGATTCTCTGCCTTTCGTCAATCTTGTCCGTGTCGTCATCAAGGTTCATTCCGGAGTTTACACGTGAGTGTCTCTATCTATCTATGTCTTCCTTCACGCAATTTTATGATTATTGTCGTTATTCTTCTAACAACGTGGTTCTCATTCGTTAGGCCCATGTGCTTTGATTAATATGTATTTAACGCATTTTTTTCGGAGATATTAGATGCATTTTTTTTCATTAAGATAAGTTGTTTTTCTTGGTGTTCCATCTTTATAATTATTTTTAGAAATTAAAAAAAAACTATGAAAAATTGCCATGAATTTACATAGAGAACATTGTCTAGTTTGGCTCAATGTCACTTAAAAAAAATGTCAATTTGCTGTTTTATCTTATTTTTCATTTATCATAAGGTACACAGCATTATAATAATAAATGCAAAGGTTGGTAACTGCGAGAGTTTCAATTTATTCTTTGGAATGTTTGCGTTTGGTATGTCTTTGCATGTGAAGAATTCCAAATTGATACTATATATAGTTTTTATATATACCCACAAACTTGTGGTCTTGTGTTTGTATTTATTTAAATGTGTATATATGTACGTATATTGGACCGTAGATTCTAGGCTGTTGTCGACATGCACTTGCGGTTTTGTTGTTTGTTGTTATAATATAGTTTGAACGGTGTGATTCTCTGTCTTGGGCTCTTTGTCCTTTTTTTTTTTATGTGTAGTGTAGTAACTAATTTTTATTTTATCCGAAATTACCAAAAAAATGAAATTGTGTAAAAAAAAAAGAAAGCGTAGGTTTCTTTTATTAGAGTAATCTATAACAATAATTCACGTAGACATCACACCTCCACAAAATAAAAAGTGAGTGTAATTATTTTATTCTATATTTAGAGGGTGGCATGCGGTATAGAGAGGTGGTCTAGTATCCATCTATGCAAACTTCATCGGATGTCCGGAAAGTCAACCCATATTTTTTTAGACGAGTTCAAAAAATTTGAATTAAAAAAAATGGACCGAATGAACCAACTCACACGAGTTCGCGAACGAGTCACAAGTTTTTTTTTAAAATTTTTAATATTTTTTAAAAATATTTTTATTTTTAAATTATATTTTTTAATAGTTATTTGGCTTATTTTGTTTAAATTTTAAAATTTTTAATATTTTTTATATTTAAATTTTGATTTTTAATTAGTTATTTGATGTTCGAATCGCTTTGTTTGACTCGTGATCTAACATGAGTCGGGTTGAGCCAAACAATTTTTTGGCTCGCCAAAAAACAGATCGGATCGAGATGGACCAAAAAGATCTGAGATCGGGACGGGTTAGACCAACTCATTTTTTACAACCCTAATGAAGGGTTATTTCAAGTTAGACTTTTAAAGTTAATTGATTGTATATCATATTAGACCGAAGTTATTTGAATTCAATTCGAATATTAAAATAACCGAAAAAGTTGAATAAAAACGAAAATTTGTGAAAAAAAATATATTTCTCTTAATAAAAACCGAATCGAATCCGTAAATGGAAAAATTGGGAACTAATATATTTTGATATATTATTTATCCAAACGGCAAACCAACCCATTTTTTACAACTCTAATGAATGATTATTTATATTTATACGTCTAAAGTTAATCGATTGTATATCATATCAGATCGAAGTTATTTGAATTCAATTCGAATATAATCGAAAAAGTTGAATAAAAAAAAATATTTTTCTTAATAAAAATCGAAAATGGAAGAATTGGGAACAATATATTTTGACATTGGGGGTATATATCTATGTATGTATGGGAAACTAAAGGGAGAAGGTGAACATACCGCCAATGAAGTCATTCATAACAATGGAAGGAGAAGGAGCAGAGAAGACGATAGTTCAATGGGGAGACAGTGCACAAACGCCGGGAGCAAGGGGCCAGCCTCTGGGCACTTTCAATTCCGCCACTTTTGCTGTCAACGCTCCTTTCTTTGTTGCCAAGAACATCACCTTCAAGGTATTTCCGGTTCGGTTTAATTTTGGTTCGGTTTCTCTTTAAACCCGAAACGACCGCAACATAATTTGGAATAAAATCGATGTAAACCGAACAAAATAATTTTCTTTATTTAATGAGCTTGCGAAGTTTATTCCGAAAAAAGAAAAAATGCTAACGGGGTAGTGAATAAACGAGTAGAACACGACGCCGGTGCCGCCGCCGGGAGCGGTGGGGAAGCAGGCGGTGGCGTTGAGAGTGTCGGCGGACAATGCGGTGTTCATGGGATGTCAGATTTTGGGGGCTCAGGACACCCTCTACGACCACTTGGGCCGCCACTACTACAAGGACTGCTACATCGAGGGCTCTGTCGATTTCATCTTCGGCAACGCCCTCTCCCTCTACGAGGTATTCTTCGAATCTAATCTCGTGTGCATGATGATGATGATGATGACTCGAATGTACGTGCGTGCAGGGATGCCACGTGCACGCGATAGCGGACAAGATGGGGGCGGTGACGGCGCAGGGGAGGAGCAGTGTGCTGGAGGACACAGGATTCTCCTTCCTGAGGTGCAAGGTGACGGGGACGGGGGTGCTGTATCTGGGAAGGGCGTGGGGCCCCTTCTCAAGGGTCGTCTTTGCTTACACCTATATGGACAACATCATCCTCCCCAGGGGCTGGTACAACTGGGGCGACCCTTCCCGCGAGATGTAAGTTCTTTTCCTTTTAATTTTTTATTTTAATTTTCTTTTTCATATGAAGAATATATAATCTTTTCCTATATATTATTTGGTATGTGAATTATAAATTATGATTCATTTACATGGATTATTAAAATAATCATAAAAATTCCCAATTGCTGTTTCTCAACTCCACACTAGAGTTAGTTTTCTAAATTATCTCATAGCCTTGTACATAAAATATTTGATGACTATTTTAAGAAAAATATACAAAAAAATTCTTTTCCCTTAGCTTTTAATTTTATATATTTTTCCTTTTTTTTTTAGAATTATTACTATATTATAAACATTATAATTCCTGTCACCTAACTAAACCCACCAACCATAATATAACACCCCCCTTTTTTTTCTCAGTAGTGCGCTGAAACGGCGCCGTCCTGAGTTCCAATGCTCATGCATCTCCACATTGATATAATGCTCTTTTGTCAGCAAACGCAGAACATTCACTTTGTTTCTAAATTCCTTACATCATCCCCCACCTAAAAATCCCTACTCCCTTCCTGTCGGCTTCTCTATTCGTCTTGTTCATATAAGCACACATACACACACACATATATATATATATATATATATATTTGTACCTACACACACACACACACACATATATATATAAGTATATATAAGTTTTCGTATATGTTTTGTGATGTGGGTTTATTGCATGCGCATGCATATTTAATTAGTAAACAAGATAAGGTACACATATGTTCCACGAATGCTTTCAGAATTTTTTTTTTTTTTAATTTGGATTAGACAATGTAAAAAGGGGTAAGGTGTTATGGTGTATTGTTTGGTGTTTATAATTTAGAGAATCTTTCTCTTTTGTTATTATTGGTTTTGAGTTTTGCAGTTTTAATTTGGAATTTAAATTAAGGTTGTAATTCGTTCAGAGAATAAATGAAATACTAATGAAAATTAAGAATTTTAATGAGAAAACGTTATATCTACAATTCGATTTTAATGAAAAAAATTATTATTTTTTGAATCTCAATCATTTGAGTTTTGTATGATTTTATTGGTTAAAAAATTATATAATTAAGAAAATTATACACTCCACACCTTTTTTTCACCTATTTAATTATATGTATGCATTATCTGAGTCAGCTTTCAACTTTCTCCATGAACTTATATATATACAAAAACCTCCTGTAAAAACTTTAAAAGCAAACTTAGGCGTGCAGTCTCTTATATATATATATATATATATATATGTGTGTGTGTGTGTGTATGTATATCCTATAGTTCTTTTGGGATATGTCTTTTCAAAATTCTTATATTGATGCCTGACCATTTTTTATCGATGTTGGTGGTTTTTAGTGATAGAATTTTTTAGTCAATTGTTTATCAGAAGTATTTTTCATAAAACTATAGGATATAATAACCATATATATATATATATATATATATATTGATAATATTATTGGAAAGCAGGACGGTGTTCTATGGGCAATACAAGTGCACGGGGCCAGGAGCCAACCATGCAGGGAGAGTTGCTTGGTCCAGAGAGCTCACTGACGAAGAAGCTAAGCCCTTTTTGTCTCTTACCTTCGTCGATGGCTCTGAATGGATCAAATTATAACCTTTTTCATGTTATTAATCAACCTTATGATAATAACAATTATTATGTACATTTTCATTTTCTGTTACTGTTTATCAAAATATTTCACACATAATATCGGTTTTGAATAACTATTGACGCAATGATTCAAATGATACTTCTCAGTTTTTTTGGATAATCATATACCCTGAATAAAAACCTAAATTAAACTCGCAACTAGAAACTATACGGTGTGATTTGAATTATATACTCTCTTTCTAAATTTAAAGTTCGAATTCGAGACGAAATAAATGTTTTGCGTCCATTTCATCGGTTGAATTATCTTCTCAACTTTCAACTTATGTTCTCATTTAAAGAAAATATACGATTTATACTTAGGAAAATATATACCAAAATTTGAAATACATGAGATACACATATCGCAAAACAATATGAATGCTGAAATTGTTAAAAAAAAATACCGATATTAAAACTACAGATGAAAATAATATCATCTACCAATTTATAATCAGTTTGTAGTCACACTAACGCTATATAACGGGTCCGTTAAATCGTCGCTATCTTGTGCCGTTATCACCACGTCAACACCGGTGCACGTTAGCACTTTTGCCCGCTTAGCCTCTCCTTCCCAATCCGTGGACCCCACAATGTATAGCATCATGACTGCACAGCTAATTTGGGCCGCTAAAAGGCCCAACCAAAGCCCACAAAACCCAATTCCAGTCCGAAAGGCAAGTCCAACAGCAACCGGCATCCCGACAAGGTAAAACGCTCCGAGGTTTATGTTCGCAGCTGTCGATGGCCGAGCACTTCCTCGAAGGACACCGCAACCGACGGTCTGAGGGCAGTTTCCGATCTCGCAGAGGCCGAGTATCGGTAACACTAACGCCGTTAGATTTATGATCTCAATGTCTCGGGTGAACATTTTCCCCCAAATGTTGCTTACGCCCCACGCAAACGCAAATGCGGTCAAACCCATGAGACCGGCAAACGCAACCGCGACCGTGGCAGCTAGACGCGCGTTATGCGGACGGTTTGACCCGAGCTCGTTCCCGACACGGGTGGAAATCGCGAATCCTAATGAAGACGGGAAAATGTATAGCAACGACGTTGTTTGGATGAGGATCCCCATTGCTGCGATCGGAGCTTTAGGATTTGCGAGCAAACCGCAGAGAACGGTCATGATCTCGTACCACCACCATTCGAGGCAAACACTAACGCAGCTGGGGGCTGCGAGGTGGATCAGTGGACCCCAATCCTTGAAGCACTCCGAGCTAGGGTTTGTCCACGTTGCTCTGTGCAAGCCGGTGAACCAAATGTAAAACACGAGAAACATAAGGACAAAGAAATTCGAAGCGGAAGCGGCCATTGCTACTCCGACAAGACCCATCTGGAGATAAGATACGAGGAAGAAGTTGATGGGTATGTGGAAGATCGTGCCTGCAAGCGTCGCTAGGGTTAGCGGGTGAGTTATGCCTTGTGCCCGAAGGTAAATACGAAGAGGGTGAAGAACCGAGTTGGTGACCAAGTCAGGAATAGAGCACAAGACATAAACTTGAGCCAAAGACGAAATGGTCGGATCTTGATGGAGAAAGATCATGATTTTCTCCAAATTCAGCCACAAAACAAGGATCCCGACCGAGCAAGCTAGCAAGAAAAGCACAGTGCGTTGTAGGGTTAGCGAGAGGAGTTTCGGCTTTTCGGCTCCAAAGGCTTGAGAACATAAAGGGTCCATGCCTAGGGCAAGACCCGAAAGGACCGAGTAGCCAGTTATATTGGCGAAAGCAATGGCTAGTGAGCCTCCGGCTAGCTCGAGCTCACCGAGATGACCAAGGAAGATCATCGAGATAGCAGATCGAACGTAGAGGATCAATGCCGCAAGGATTGTTGGGAAGGCTATGGAGAACAGGGATTCACCCTCGCTTATGATCTGGGAGATTGATGGGAAAATACGGGTCTGGTCGGGTTCGGATTCCGGGTCTGGTCCGGTTGAGGAGTTCTTGTGATCGGAGATATTAGGGTTTTCCATTGATTGTGACGATGATGAAATACATACAAAATGGCACAAATGATGGAAGAAGAAGATTTGAATAGTTGTATGTGGATGATGCTTATAGATATACACAAGGGTAATTATTTATAAACATCTATAACAAGGGAGGTGGTCAAACCTTTTATATAAATATCTTACTTTTAATTTTTTTTTAATACCAAAAACAGAGGTCAAACATTTGTATTAGTACATTACCATATACATTGAAATGCAGCAGGAGGCACAGCAATACTAAACATGATGCACATACTGCAAGATAACAGGCATGCATCTCACATTTTGATTCAAAAAACAAAAGAAAAAGGTGCAAGTTGCTGTTGAGTTATGACATTAAGATATTTAGATTTGGATTTCACTTTGGTTCTTGTTTTAGAACCCTACTTATGTTATGTCCATTTTATTTAAACATATTTGCCATTCGCTGACCATCTACACATTAAAACTTCATCGGAATTTCGTATCTATGGGCTATATGCTTTTATTTTCCACGGGAACCCATTACCAGAAACCCTAATTCCATATTGCAATAATACAAAAATGCTGATCGTGCAGCAATGGAAACTAAACCAGATAATCAAACCAAAGATTCGAAATTACTTCAAACCCAGGTCTCAATTCCATCACTTGTACTCGAAATTCGGCACCGGCGGCGCGTCAAAGCTCTCCAGAATCTGAACCTTGCTCCCTCCATTATCCTTGGATTCCGCATTCTTCCCACCACTGAACCATCCTCCTAACCAAGACGACCCCGATTCCGAACTCTCCGGCACGGATTGACCCGGCAATCCCATGGGGAAACCCGGACCTGGCTCCTCCACCATGATCGGCGCCTCTTGCGGAGCGCTGAGAATTTTATTGAGGGCGATCCCAGCTCCTTCGATGAGAGCCAGAAGAGCGCCACCGAACAAAGCCGATCGAGCGGAGGCTCCAAGGCCCTGACGCATCGAGAGGAACCCTCCGGTGGCGGCTCCGGCGAAGATCGAGTTCCATGGATCCTCCTTCTGACGAGCGTAGACCATCGTGCAATCGAAGGCGGAGAAGAGGCCTCCCCACACGGCAAAGCTCCCGCCGACTCTCGGCGCGTTCATCCTCACGGCCTGAGATCCGCCGGAGATACGAGCTCCGACGGGAGAGTTGTATAGGCCCTTGAGGAAGTGGAAGGCGGAGGCACCCACGGGTCCCA